CCATCATGGCAGGAAGCTTGGCAGCAGGCTGGCAGCTAACATAGCTTGGGATCAGTAGCTGAGAACTTCCATCTTAACCACAAGTTGGAGAGAAAGAGAGATGGAGAGGGAGACTTGGGTGGGTGGGGTGTGTGGCACAGAGAGAGAAGGGTTGCTGGGCTTGGCTTTTGAAACCTCAAACCCAACAACTTCACCCCTACCCACTCCTGGTGACACATCTCTTCTAGTCCTCCTTAGCCCAAACAGTTCCACTGACTAGGGACCAACCATTCAAATACTTGAGCCTATGGATCTAGGCTATTGTCATTCAAACCACTGCAAATACCTACAACTTGAGAAGTCAGTTTTCAGTGTATCCAGAGCTGAGGTTGGATATACTGAAGTTCCCACCTGGATGAGAAGGTGACTTGGGAGTATGAAGTCATGAGATTAGACTGAGGAGGGGGCTCAGACATAACCTAAAAAGTAGCAGAATCTAAGAGCTCAACGGAGGAAAAAGAGTTGGTGAAAAAGACCAAGATGAAATTATTCTTAATTGTTCTTCTAATGATTAACACTGGCTTCAATTCTTGGTTACTGTAAACAAACATTTCTTTTCATCCCTGACTGATTGTTTCTTTGAATTCATTCCAGAGGTCCAGTTGCTGTGTCAGATTGTCACTCTTGTTTTCATGTAGTGATAGGATATTTCTCCACTGGTGAAGTGAGACAACTCAAGGCACATTAGATTATATACAGGCAGGTTTGTTCACTTGCCCCAAGGACCAAAGCCAAGGAAATCACCATGGGAAGAGAGAAGGAGGGTAGAGGGAAGAGAAAGAGAGAAGGAGAAAGAGCCTCAAGGAGGAGAGCAGAGTATGCCTGGGGGACTGAGGGATGCAAGGAGAACCTGGAGACCAGGTCTGCTTTGCTATGTAAAATATGCACCTCTGTCCCTTGCCCCTGGGGTGGAAACCAAACAAGTGCCTTGATACATATTACTGTCACATAGAACAGGGGCATCCAAGGTTGCTTCTTCATACCTGTCAAAGTAGTGCTCCTGTCTGCTTGGTCATCGGTTATACTCTCAGCAAATGCCCAGTTGTCCTTCATGTGGCCTTTCTGTATCAAGTGGGCCTTTATCCCATGACGTTGGGTTCTAAGAGGAAGGAAATGGAAATTGCTAAAGCTTCTTGAGCCCTGGTTTTGAAGTTCCAGAAAGTTCACTATACTATTAATAAAAGCAGTTCTTGACTGACTTGACTCAAGGGCAGAAGCTGTGAACTCCTCAGTAGAGCAGTGGTAAAGATAGACAAGGACAGAAAAGATTGAGAGCAGATGTCTTTGGAGACCCTCCCCTTTGTGTGCAAGCTTCTATCATCCCAGTCACTCCTGTTTCTGAAAGGGTGGAAACCTTTTATAAATCCCTTCTCCAACAGTTAACCTGTTGAATGTAATGCTTTGAAAAATAGATGGTTGCGAGTCATAGCTTATTTTCTACTTCCAACAGGCTTCCTCTGGTTTGATACTGTCAGTTTAGCTAAAGAACATTCAGTTCTTCAAAAACAGCAGCTGGATATACTAGGTACTCAAATATTTCAGGATTAAAGAAATGCAGTTTGCAATTCAGTTTTAACACTAAAGAAAGACCTTTCTTCATGCTTCCTGACTTGGTTTTCCCCTTGGCTATCATCGATCCTCAGAAAGTCAGCTGCACTTTGGATTAAGGTCATTTCAGGTCTCAACCCTCCCTGCAGTAGCCTCCTTCCTGTGGTCAGACTTGAATTTCACTTATCTTGCTCCTTTCGCAAGATTTTTTCAGAATCATTGTCATGTTCAATTGGGTCCAAAGTAGCCTAGGGTAAAGCCTCCTCTATGTGTTCTTTATCAGTGTTCTTATGCCTCTGTAGCTGCCTGTGTTTATAGAGCACATTCTGTGATGCTGTCTGCCTCTGCTAATCTAAGGGAAGAGTTGGGGGAGGGAAAGTTGGAACTGCTTTCTACCATTGAATCTCAGCCTGGTAGGGAAAGAGAGGCTACTGAGGTCTTTAAATGTAGTGTAACTCCTTGCCTTTGGCATTCTTAAATGTTTGTTTTTTTTTTTTTAAAGTGTTAGAAAAAAGAAATTTAAGTAGTCTTGTTGTATAGCCATGGATTTCTTCCCTGCTTCATTTTCATCTCACAAAAAGTCAGTTCTTACACACATATACATATACATATATATTTTTTTGCTTTTTACTTCTAACAGCTAATATTTTACTCCTAATAATGCCATAAGAAAAAATGAAGTCTTTATGATCTAAAGAAATATAAATCTTTAAGCACTGGCTCCATGCTTTTTAACTGACTCCTGTAAAACTATGACAGTTATTTCTATCAGACATTTCAGCAACCTTGACAACTTGCCTTCCTGTGTTATCATTTAGGACCTGTTAACTTCGCTGTGTATACGAAATAATTTATGGTTCAAATAAGAATGGAGATTTCTTGAGGCCATGGGTTCTCAGATGGGAATGTGTCCATTTTTATTTCAGATTATTTTGTGAAATTGATTTCTCACAGCAAAAGAGTTTATCGTGTATTTGTTCGCTCATATTTAGTTACCCTGGTTTTAAGTTGAAAGCTCAGAGTGAGTTGTCATTTCATCACTAGGTGGCACCTGTAGATCACAGATGGTCATGCATACTCGACGCAGTTATGACAAGTACAGAATCCATAAACACAAATAACACTGGGATCGGATGTTCTTTAGAATGCTAGGTACTAGTTACCCAGATTAATCTGTGGGCTCATGATTGAAATGTATTCAACTGCTTTATAATCATTCATTCATAGTTAATAATACTATTAATAGGTAGACTGATCTGTGTGTATCATCTAGGTTGATTATGACCGTGAAGTTGAAACCTTGTAGGACCTGTTTGCTGCTAATTTCCTGTGAGAAAAATGAGTGCTTTGGCTCCTTATATTAATTCAAACCCAACTCTGAGCACTTAATGTTTTATAAAGTTTATGGAAGTACCTGATTCTATAATCCCCTATAGATACACTTATCTCCATAGATAAGAAGGAAAATAACTTAGGAACTTAAGTGAGGAATAGACACTCACTAAGAAAAATATAAGCATCTCTGCTTTACTACCAAGAAAAAAGCTCAGATGTTAATTTACCTAACAGAGTGAGCAGGGCACCTAGCAGTAAGCATGAGTATAAAGACAGACACATTCAAACTCAAGCCAATTCCCCGGTCTTCTTAAAGTAACTGTATGCTGAGTATAAATCACCAGTGTTAGTTTCTTGTTGAGGCTTGGAGAACATGATGGTCCCTGGGTGGCCAAGACCAGGACATGGAAAAAGTCTCCAAAAGAGCCAGGCTTACTTGTGACTTTGCATATAAGCAGCCTTGTTACCTTTAAGCTGAGTATAGACCATAGCATGTGTTGACAGTTCTGAGCTGTAGGTTTCAGATCCTGCCTTCAAATACTTTCTTAGTGTGTAATGTAAGTTGCAACCCTATGTCTGCTTACCTTTAAAATGGAAAAAGATTACTTAGCTAATCTGTGAAAAACACACCAAGCTGTGCCCATCTTATGGTGAGCATTGAATATGAGAAGCATTCTTACTGTTTTATACAATTTATGAAATAGAATTGGAGCCATGGCTAGCTAGTTAACATACCCCGGGTTACAGCTCTTGCCCGAGTGCATTCCCTTTTCCCTTGTGAAGTGATCCAGTGTAGATTTTGAAGAACAACTGTTTGATCACTCTAGCTATGCCCAACTTTGTTATTGAGTTTTATATAAGTTTGTCTTAAGTGAAGTCACACCAAGGGAGCACATAACTGATTCCTGGTGTATGAAGTATGTCATGCATGTTAGAACCACTGGCATTCTAGTGTTGGGCTACCTACCATTAACTGTTTGTTACCTGTGTAGAGCTGAGAGAGTGAGTTTCCTTGTTTAAAACCATGTATTTTATGTGTAACATGTGGAGAACATTAGCACCTCCTCTTTACGCTGTGTAAGAGGGATGTGGGCAGAGTACTCTCGATGCCCACTAGTGAAAAGAATATAAAAATATAGTGAGTAGGGGTGGACTTTTGCTTAAGGAAAGGGTCTTCTCATAGCACTTAGATACATAGGAGGTGGGACATTGGAGATGAAGATGCTTAACTAGTGCCCTCCACAGTACAGTGGTTTTGATCTGACAGATACCAAGCTAATTTTCATTTTTGTTTTTTATTGCTTTTAAAAATACTTGGATTTTTACAAATATTTTTAAAAATAGAGGTGCTTGATAGAACAGTGTGCCCATGTGAGAGCCATTGGTTTTAGCAATAATGTTTTAAAAGTAGTAAGCTAATGATCTATCATAAAACTGACCCATGTGAATTGTGATTTATTGATTTTTGTGAATTTACCCAGTTGCCAGCCATCATAGTCAACTTTGAAGCACATCATCACCTTGGCAGGATGCCATTCACATTAATTCCATTTTTATCCTTATCCCAAGGCAGCCACTGATCTGCTTGCTGTCCCTAGATTTTCTCCTAGGCATTTTATAAATGGACACTGTAATATGAGGTATTGGGAGTCATTGTACAGACAGTAACAAATCTTATGTGTCATTTGTAGTGGGCCTTTTATCATATGTATCTTTAGCCTTTCTCCATTCTCTACCCCAATTGATTATTTGAAAGCTGATTTTAATTTCTTAAAATATTATATGTTCTTTTTTATTTTTATTTTTCTGAACCATTTCTCAATCATCGTGCCTTTAATTTTCTACTGTGATTAAAAATTGCCTTATGTCTTGTATCTTTTTTATTTTTGCTTTAGAACAAAGAGGTTGATTTCAAAGATTAAAACTGCATTTTATCCTCAGTTTAATGAAAAACTCATTCTTAGCAAATTCAGATAATTGTGGTTTCTAAACCTTTGATGAGACTTAAAACTGGCTATGTCATATTGAACTTGGTCCGCTTCTGATTTTGGGGGTTTTCTGTTTGTATGTTAACTCAGGTTGTCGGAAGAGGAGCTTTTGGAGTAGTTTGCAAAGCTAAATGGAGAGCAAAAGATGTTGCTATTAAACAGATAGAAAGTGAATCTGAGAGGAAGGCTTTCATTGTGGAGGTAAGCTGAGATGTCATTTCTATCCAGTAATTCTTCACCAGAGATAATATAGTGTTTCTCAATTTTCATTTTTCTGTGTACATAAACATCAACAGTTTGATTGAACTGAAAGTAGTGCCTTCGTAGGAATGTTTTTCATTTTTTTGCTTTAAATTTTGGTTAAAAGTTATTAGGGGAAAGTGGATTTACATGAATAGCTCCATGAATTCAAGTGCAGTCACCCATGGACTCCAAATATATTTCAAGATATCTTATCTTAATCTTAAAGTGGTATTCTCTCCCGTTACCTAAAGTTAAGAATCTCTTAGAATGTTGTAGAAATAGTCACCTTTCTAGTGAGAAACTACTCCACACACTTAGATTAATAAGGAAAAGCTCTTTACTGAAAAAGTGTGGCCAGCTGTGGCTAACACCCAAAGAGGGGCAAACTCAAATCAAAGATTTTACTAACTTAAATACACTTTAGGCTTATGCATTCCACATATTCTGTCATCCTTAAATCTCTTTTAGGTCTTGGCCCCAGCTTACACTTTGAAAAATATAACAGAGATAGGAGACTGCAAGTCTGGCCCCTTACACAGGTGGGAGACTTGTGTAGCACCAGAATTATTTTAATAACTAGTGTTTTCTTTCCAAATGGTTGTTATCTAGGGTCTTCTTGCCCATCTGGTAGAATTATGAGATTCTACCAGAAGAGAACTGGGGACTTTGTCAACCTAGGACTTAACATTAGTCGTGATCTTGTGCTGCCCCTTGAGTGGCCAGTTAGGGGCTTGTTCTTTGGGGATGAGCGATGGCGCAATGGCGAGTGAATCCTGGTGAGCAATATTTACATGATAGCAAAGTATTTTCACCCATCACTCACAGGTCTAGTTAGCATACTGCTTAGCTTGGGCTATTTTGGAGGCAGCAGTGCCTTAAAGTTTACTGTCTCCTAGGAGTTAAACCCTTTATAGCATCAGCTTTAAAATGTTGAGTTTCTTCTACATAACAGATTTGTGAAGTTAATCATGTTGCTCCTCTTGTTTTTGTTGCTTGTTTAAGATTTGGCTCTAGGTCTGCTGGATCAGTTATTACTAATCACTAGTTTGTCAACTTCCAAATGGTGTACTGTTACCTCATTGCAGAGTCTCTTCATCCTTCTGCGTTGATGCTTTACAAACAACAACAAAAGCCTCACCTATTTATGAGACTCAGAGAAAACAGAAACAAATGCTTGAATAATATGCTATGTGAAGTTAGTTTTGAGTTTTACCAAGGTGGAATATGTTTATATACAATAAATATAAAATAGTAATAAGTTACATGACATAACATTTTTTAAAAAAGAATCAGCTATTTTTCTGTTAAGGATGAAAAATCCATGAATACCAACTGGAAGAAAACTGTCAAGTGGCATATGATAAAAAAGGTTGAGAGACCTTTCTGCCTTACTGAGCTTTACATGAGCCAGTAGCATGTGACTATGAAGAGAAGAAGGAGAAAGCAGGGCAAAGACAGAGGATGAGAGAGAGAAAAAGAGAGAGACAGAGGGAGAGAGGGAAGGAGGGAGGGAGACAGAGAGACAGAGAGAGAGAGAGACAGAGAGAGCACGTATGAGCTGGGGACAAGCCTCAGCGTAATTACTGGCTCAGGGAAGGTTAAACCAGAAGTTGTACTGGGGATTGACTTGGGATATACAGTGGACTGAAGCTAGAACCTAAGACATATTAGTTAAATGCTCTACAACTGAATGACTCCCATACCCCCAAGCTCTCTGCAGTAACTACAAGACAGAAAATGGAATTAGAGGCAGCTATTCAGAAAGAGTATGTATTTCATGTCAGATAAACAGAAGTTCAAATCTGACCTTAGAGTCTTTAACAGCTGCTTTGTCCTCACTGAACTTCAAGGTCTCATATTTAAAATGGAAGTTATAGTACCTATCTTTCAGAGTCTGAAGACATCAGGAATACATGCAGAATAGGTAAATTGATACCTGTAGGAAAGTACCACAGCTTCTGGTGTAAGTGACTCCGTCAGTACTGGAACTGAAATGGTGCCTTGAGCTATTTTCCTGTTTATCCTGGCTTGTTCTTAACTCCCGTTACAGTACTTTTTGCACGGTTTAATGATCTCTCTGTCTTCATACATTTGATTAGATCTGTGTCCCCACTTGGACTGTAGGATAGAGATTCCCAACAGGTACTGGGGATTGCCAGTGCCTGTGGCCATAGCGCTTGTTACCTGGTAACAGAAGTTACTGAACGATTTAAACAAATTTTCTATATGACAGTAAGATTTGAACAGCATGGTAACATAAGCACCTCAAAAACGAGCACTTTTTAAGGATCCATTCTTTGTTACAGCTCCGGCAGTTGTCACGTGTGAACCATCCTAATATTGTAAAGTTGTATGGAGCCTGCCTGAATCCAGTAAGTGTCCCTCTTCATCTCCCTATAGGAAACAGTGGCAAGTGTATCAGTTTATATAATTTGTGAAGCTGTTTTGATCTGTTCAACTGTAGTTTTATTTCTGAAAATAATTCCTACATTTTGTTTGCTTCTAGCCCTAACAAAGCAGTATGTTGGTGTTGTCGTCTCAGGTACCTTTTAGCCTTGGCCACACCAATTTATAATGCGCCTTCATGTTGAGTTAACAACAATTCTCAAAACTAATTTAATTTCCAGAAAAAATGTAATTTGTTCTTCTGAATTTTTACCTTCCCCACCGATGAACTGTGTAATTGCTGACCAAGACAGATCACCTGACACTCCTGTGTCACCACTCATCTTATTTCCTTAGCTAACCTGACAGTGGCCAGTGAAGGGCCAACAAGGGAAGTTTTCAGTCCTTTCCCTTTCCTGTTCTCTGCCCTGTAACTGCCTACCTGTAAGCAGTCAGTGGGTTCTGCTTCTTATACTAGAGCCCATCTGAGTAAAACCTGTGCTGTCGTGGAGTAGTGCATACCACTCTCTGTCCTCCTCACTAACCTAGGTAAACCCATACCTCACCTCGTTATAAGACTTGATGTCCTAGAACATAGCTTTACTAGCATTGGGCCTCAAAAGGTCTTATAATTCTATTTTGTTCTCCAAAAGCTTGTGATACACTTTATATATTAATATACATTATAATATGCTATATTATATATGTTAGTATATTATAATATACGACATAAATTTTATATAATATATTGTATTTTATTATACATGATGATAGATTTTAATATAGTAATATTATATAACATACAGTAATCCTATGCTAATTTTAGCAGGCACCTAGAAGACAAGTTCTTTGATCACAAATGCGTGTTCCTTCTGTTAGTGCCATTCACAGAGTAGGAGCCAAAAGAATTATTTTCAGAACAGTCAGGCAGTTGAACTAAGTTATCAGCAGGGAGAGCCCACCAATGTTGCCACTCCAGTAAATTCTAGCATGTATTTCCTTTAGGTATGTCTTGTGATGGAATATGCAGAGGGAGGCTCATTGTATAATGGTGAGTATCAGCTAAACCTGCTTTTACCTAGTAGATTGAAGGAATTAGAAAGCTTTTAAGAAGAACTAAATTACCTATTGTTAGTCACAATTTATCTTCAGAGTTCTCAGAGGAAGTCATTTTGGTTTTTCGGTTTGTTTGTTTGTTTGTTTGTATGTTTTTGCTTTCACTGCTAAGATCTTAGGGCAAGAAAGATGTATGACATTTATATAAATTTTTGAGTTAATATATTATGTTCAAAGTTTGTGAAGTAACAATTTTTTAAATTGATTTTAAAGTATGTGTATGTAGACTCTCCCTTCTGGCTTTTTAGTTTTGAGCCTTCATTTTAGAAGTCTTTGACTATATACTTCATATCACCATGCTTTATGGTGCTTCCTTTTCAAAACATAAAACGGTGAAAACAAACTTCACACAATATTTTAGATTTCTACTGTCTCAGTTACTTTCCTATTGTGACCATGACCAAGGCAACTCAATAGGAAAGAGTTTAATCAGGCTTTCAGTTTCAGAGGGTGGGGAGCAAGCATGTTAGCTGCAGCAATTAATAGCTTGCATCTCTATCCAAAAGCTGGAGGCAGAGAGCACACTGGGTGTGGCTGAGTCTTAATCTCAAAGTCCACCTCCACTGACATGCTTTCTCTAGCAAGGCCACACAGCACAATCTTTCCCAAACACTTTTCCATCTTACGGAGGCCAAATTTTCACACATGATTTTATTGGGCCATTCTCATTCAAACTACCAGTGTTAACACACACACAAAAACCTTTTGTCCTGGTATTACCCTTGTGGAACAAAGCTCTCACCTTAAAAATACTTACAAATTTCATGTATGTGTGAATTGTTCCAGTGACTTTTATAAAATTGATAGCATTTGCTTTTAAGTTGCCATTATTTTACATATACATTTAATATACCCACTTCTGTGTATTCTTCATTGTTGATTTGTGTCTGGTGCTCTCATTTTATTTGAGAGAACTGCTACTTTCTTAGCTGCTATAGACGGGGACAGTTGTAAGCATCTGATATGGCCATCTTGTCTCAGTACTGTTTCTCTCTTCCACACTCAGAATGAATAGGATCACTTATCATTTATGTGCTTGTGTGAAAGAGAATATCAATTTTAAAATGTATGATAGTATGTACTAATTTTATTTGAATGACCATATGGAGTTATCTACTAAATTTTCATTTAAATTTCTTTTTTTTTTTTTAAATCCTAGAGAAGATTTAAAAGTGGGACTGGAATATTTGTAAAAGAATACTCGTTCGGGTGTTTTGATAGTCCTTGCGTTTGTATTGTTTCATGTTATAAGCAATAAAGTTCTTTTTAGTTTGTCGTGCCTTTCTCTTGCAGTGCTGCATGGTGCTGAACCATTGCCTTACTACACTGCTGCTCATGCCATGAGTTGGTGTTTACAGTGTTCCCAAGGAGTGGCTTATCTGCACAGCATGCAGCCCAAAGCTCTAATTCACAGGGACCTCAAGCCTCCAAAGTAAGTTCTAGCAGGGTGACACTGGCTTCTCTCCTCTTGCCACCCCTAATTCAAGGTAATTGTTGCTTTTGACTTTCCCTTTTCTCTTCCCTTCTTGCTTACAATGTTATTTTTTACTTACTTTTGTCATCTCGCTGTATATCTAAACTTATATTTTAGAATGTTGTCTATGGGGGATGTTTTTATTAATGCCAACTTTACATTGTAATGATTAGAATCTGTTAGCCTGTAAGTCCCAATTTGTACCTGCAGTATATAAAATTGTTCCTGCTTAGTCTTCTGAGAACAGAGTCAAGTCTTGACTACTATTCCTGCTGCATTCCTAACAGGAGCAGGGTCTGCACATGGGAGACACAGTGCAGACCTGTGCTGGTGGCCTTGCTGCGTTCCTAACAGGAGCAGGGTCTGCAGATGGTGGACATGGTGGAGAACTATGCCATTGGGGTGCTTGTTCTTAGAGAGGGAATAAAAGCATTTCTGAATCTGAGTACAGGTGTAAGCAGTGCAGATTTCTCCATAGCAACTGAGAATCCTGACACTTCAAAAGACGCTTTAGAAAGGTGGAGTAACAAGAATCTGAACAGGAACAGTGAGATGATAGGAATTTTGTTGTTGAATTGCATACATACAAGAGTTGAAATATGACAGGAGTGTTTGATAGTATAGCATTATGAATAGGGGCATATCTGCTTATTGTAATTACACTGAATTAAAAGAGAATTAATTTCCTAGATCTCTAGTTAGAGTTCAAGTAGAACATTACATACAAGAAATTAATAAGATATGTAATTACAATGTGTTTTTATTTATTTCTTTTGAATGTTTCTACCGTGTAGTTATGCACATTTTATAATCTATCTCTATCTCTGTTTATTATCAAAAGTAAAACTTTGTAAGCAAAAGGATGCTATTTAGTAATTGTATTTGAGTCATAGCACCTAGAAAGCTGAAGTTCTGAAACATTCCTAGCATTTATTAGACTGTCTTGATAAATATAGGAGATTCATACTACCCTCCCCCACCACATACACACACATTCTAAATTCAGAAACAATTTTGAGATTAAACATTAAAAAATCTTCAAAATGAAGACATAAAATAAGAAGCATTATCTTCAGCTATAGCTCAGTGGTAGAACATTTGTCTCACACACACAGGATCCATCATTCAATTTCCTATACTGCAAAACCAAACCAGTACTATTGGTTTCCTTCTGTATTGGTGTATTTTACTTTATCCTCAATTAGATTATTTGTCCTATGGAATAGTGTTGTTCTGTTAGTAATAAATGTTTAATAAATACCATAGCGCTACACTGCAGAAACCACAGAGCTCAGTAAAAGGGACGTTTGGTCAGGCACTGTCATGGAACTATAGATGAAGACATCAAAATATGAATATGATGTTCTCCCCGAGTTCTCTAGGTTACAGCCTTTTAATTTTTGCTGATATTCCTTCAGATATTAGTCTATTACAGTGACCAAGAAATGTTTTATAAAAAGTTTAATAATAGCACTTGTTTAGCTTAGCTTTTTCCAGTTCCATTATCATTTTTGTTTTCTTATAAAATCAAATACTGACTTTGTGAATTTTGAATTTTTTTATAATAGCTTGCTGCTGGTTGCAGGAGGGACAGTTCTAAAAATCTGCGATTTTGGTACAGCTTGTGACATCCAGACACACATGACCAATAATAAAGGGAGTGCCGCGTGGATGGCGCCCGAAGTGTTTGAAGGTACAATCACAGAAGCATGGTGTGCTTGCTACTACTGTGCCTTAGTGCTTGTGAATCCAGGGTGTGTTTATAACTCTGCATATAGTGTCACTTCTACAGGGTCCTAAGTGAGTAGAGCCTAAGATCCCAAATTTTATGTCAGAATTTAAATTGACATCTTCTGTGCAGAGTCACACGTCTGTATAGCCCATCCTCACTACTCACAGACTGTGTAATTGAGAACCTATCTACTTGATCACCTTTGGTTGAGATGCTTTCAGAACTGTTCAGAAGCAAGGAGCTCATGTACAACAGTCCACATTTTGAGTCATACACAGCACTCTCCAGCCTTGTTTCCCTGGTAAGGTAAACAACTTATTCAGAGCCATGCTTTCCCTTTTTATGAGTGGTCATGGTGGTTTTGCTACCTAAGTACAAGAAGGCTTTGAACATGTGAGAAGCATGAACATACGTGTTAAAGGGTATTTTCTCAACATGCTTCAGACTGCCGTGAGTGGGAACTAGTTAACCAGTGAAGTGTTAGGTGAAGTGTCCTTAAACCCACACAGAGACCCAGGTGAAGATATTGGTTAGTTGATAAATGTTCATGAACAAAGGCACATAGGAACCTAGCCCTGTATCTCCCCTAGGAGCAGTGGTTCAGAGATTATTAGTGGATTGTATACGCCCAAAATAAGTAAAACCTGTACCTTTGCTCTGATTTGCTATCAGTTAAAAAGAGCACTACAGCTTAAATCAGCATGCCTTAAAAAGATCACGTCACAGATAAGGTACTAAGGTCTACCAGTAAAAGGTAAGCTAACGGTCGCTTTCTTTTACACCTTCATAGCTCACTCAGAATTCATAAGATTAGTCTGTATATTTAAGTTTTATATGAAAATGTCAAATTCTTTTTTAAGTGAGAGACATTGAGCTAAAGAAATGGGCTTTGAGTGAATCTTCATCTGTATGAATGCCATAATACTCAAACTGCACTCAAGAATTGGGCTTTCCTGTTTTACTTTTTCCCTTTTTTGTTTTCTTTTGTTTTGTTTTTGATGTACGTGAGTATAGTGTTGCTGTCTTCAGACATAGCCGAAGAGGGCATCAGATCCCATTATAGATGGTTGTGAGCCATCATGTGAGTGCTGGGAATTGAATTCAGGACCTCTGGAAGGGCAGTCAGTGCTCTTAACCAGCCCAGTTGTTGGTGAATTTTAAACATTTTTATTGTTTTATGTTTAGCCATTTCAGAGAAAGAGGGAAATGCCATGTAGCTTGTCACTTGACTTTAAGACTATTGTTCCCTGAAGTCTAATTACAAAGTGTTGGACTAGAGACAGGCAGATTTCTTTGAGTTCGAGGCCAGCCTCATAATAAGTTCTAGAACAGCAAGGGTATACAGAGAGACCCTGTCTCAAAATAAATAGATAGATAGATAGATAGATAGATAGATAGATAGATAGATAGATA